CATAAGTCGCTCTGTGGATTGCTCCTACTACTAGAGAAGATTGCTTCTACTGTATCAGACACTATCCTTGAAAACGTCTCATTCTATGAACTATTACGTTCCAATTCAACAAGATGAGGCGTGCGAGAGAAAGTAAGTTCATTCAAGTTTTATAAACTTTTTTGATACGTTATGTATTTTTTTCTAAGTCTATACATGTTTTCCTTTTTCTACATCCCATCTTCTCATACATCTTCGAAATCTCGCTTACATCTCGATGAGGAAATATACATTAACATTGATAGCGTACAAGTTCCTGAACATTGGAATCGTCGTGGGGCCTACGTCTCACGTACAAATTGAGATCGGTGACAATCGAGGCAACCGCATGATCCTGCCTCATGGTACATAGAAGGCGTTCATCGAGAGACGTGCAGATATTGAGCGATTAATGCAGGCAACAATCTCATCATGATCATCGTCATCATTATTGATTCAAGATTCGAATGTGGAACATGCTAAAATAGGTAATACGAATAACATAAAATTAGCATTATATGGTACATGCTTGTACATGAAACCAATAACTATGCTCTTCTTATTTGACCTTGAGCAATGTGTCGAGCATGTATTCTATGATCTGAGTCAATATACGCATGGTGTTAGTGAGAAATTCAAATATTTTGCATCATTTTTAAGAGAAAATTGTATTACTAATAAATGCGATGATGCAAACATTTTGTACAGAATTTATGTTAAAAATTCTGCCATAGTATGTGAACTAACAGTCTATGGTTTAGATTATATTGTACATGCTGCATTACATGAAAAAATAAATATTCATTAAAAGTATATTACTTTTTTAAACCTCCCCTTCTTTTCAATACGAGAGATAAAAACCAAGATTCATCGAAATCGATCGAGCACAGTCTCGAAAAATCGATCGCCATGGCCGTACCAACGTTTGTGGATCTGCAAGGATTTATCGTTGGAAAGAATTTTATCGTGAAGGAAGTAGCGGTTGAGAAAAGGTGCCATTCTCTCTCATTACATTTTTACGTGTCCTATGGCATGAAGTTTCTTGACAAAATCAGAAAAGTATTGCGCTTCCTGGCTGAGTGTTTATCACCATGGATTGCAATGGGAAGACGGGATGATCCCGTACACCATGGTGAAACGCCTGATTACAATGTCTGTAATTGGTGTGGAAGAGAATGACGACAATAAGGCTCTCGTGTACGTTAAAGGACGTGAAAAACGCGAATGGCTGGCTGATGTACTCGATAGCGACAACTTGACCATTGAGATCTTGGATGCTGATTACAAAGATATAGATTCTTTACATAATCTGGATGTTACCAATACTATGCGATGTGAAAAACATATTAAGAATTGTGCGTTACAAAATGTATTTAAAATACATAACTCGTGGTCACAACGCCAAAAAAAATGTATCAAGTTTAAAGAATAAAATATGAGATTTTTTTTTTAATACGTTTTAGATTTCTTTTCCCTTCCCTTCCTTTGTAATACATGTATGAACGTACGTATAAACGTATGTACGAACGTATGTATAAACGTATGTATGAACGCATGTATAAACGTATGTATGTATAAACGTACTCTAGGTAGGGGATTGCTATGGCAAAGGACGCTTCTCAACGTTAGTCTCTCATCCGCGTGTGCTACATGAGCAGTTATGAGCTATCGATTGAACGTAGATTCATTATTGTGTGTGACGATCCTTCGCAACTAGCGGAAAAAAGCCACAGTAGTGTCGTTGCGCGCAGATTACGCGATAATTTGTGACTGTGTGTGACTAAAATCAATAAAAGACATGGAAGACAATGAGCCTCCACCAAAAAAAATTAAATTAATTGAGGCGGAGAAGGACATCCTCGTCGAAGAAGATGTCCACATGGAGGAGGACGTCGTCCGCATGAAAGAGGACGTCGTCCTAAGCGAGGAGGAGGATGAGGACGAGGTTCCAATCATAATTGATGATTGGGATGAGGAGGAAGAAGAGGAGGAGGAAGTCGCGTACATTAACGGCTTCCCCTTCTACGTTAATAAGGTAAGCGGCGATGAATATGCAGCGTTCATGATAGAGTTCCTCCAGCTGCATGATGAGGAGGAACTGATCCGCGTCCTCGTGGAGGCTGAGGAGGAAGAGGCTGAGGAGCAGGAGGAAGAGGCTGAGGAATAATTGACACTAGGAGGAGGAGGAGGAGGGGGCTGAGAAGCAGGAAGACGACGAGGAGGTAAGTCTTATTTTATATAATTCATTATAATTTTTTTTGGTCGCCCCCTCGTCTACGAGTACTCCCCGCGCTCCCCTCGCCAACAAGTATCCCCCGCGCTACCCTCGCCAACAAGTATCCCCCGCGCTCAGCTTTCCCTCACCTACGAGTATCCCCGCGCCCCACTAGCCCCAGGGGTTAGAACTCGCCAACTATACCTACTCTCAATAATTACGAAACTTGATTGTATTTAGGTAGTTAAAATAATTAATAAACGTTATTTCTATAGAAAAATTACATTACGCTATATCTTGGTTGAAAAACGGTTGGAGCATATACCCTTTGTAACACTTTTCATTCTATAACTATTTGTTTTTTGTATTGTTTGGTTCATGGCATAATTTCCTTTTATGTGATGTTTTTTTTTGTTGTCTTGTACGTGATTGCAGTCCCCAAAATCTTACTGCCATTCCGCATGACGTCATACCCCCACCACCAAAGAATCCCCGCGCTACGGTTCCCCTCGCTTACGAGTATCCCCCGCACCCCGCGCTACCCTCAGAGGACCTGAGTTAGAACCGGCCTAGTATACCTACTGTTAGAGTATACTTTAGAAAAAAATACTTCTTTTACTAATGCTATAAATCATACATTATATGAATATTTTGCGTACGAGAAGCTGCGTTCGTGAAGAGGCAGCAGCAGCAGCAGCAGCAGCATCATGTATAAATAATAATAATAAATAAAACAAATACACTGAATACTTCGTTAT